CTCTCCCCTCCTCTCCTCTCCTCTCCTCTCCTCTCCTCTCCTCTCCTCTCCTCTCCCTCTTTTTTTTTTGAAGACATTGATAAATTAAAAGTAATCCAAAGAGATGACAAAGACTATAGGCTGTGACCTCTGGTGTTAGATTAAAGAAACTCAATACAGGGACCTATCAAAAAGGCAACTGAAAGACTGACTGATAAGTGCATAAAATATGGAAGAGGAAATAATAGGCAATTTAGGTTCAACCTCAAAACACTTTTTCCCAGCAGGGTCATCATTTAGACAATGGAGTAATTTGCAGAGGTAGGTTGCTGAAGGCCTGTCATTAAAGAATTTCAGGAAGCAACTAGATAAAAATGCCTGGGTTTAGCACAGAGGCTAATCCTGCGGTCGTCTCTGGGGACAGACTCAATAAAAAAAAAGCCTGTTTCTTCTGTGATTTGTGCTCGCACTGTCCCCTTGTCTCGCACATTCCTTTTGTACCTGTCTGCACTGCCCCGTCTGCCTGGGATGGCGTCCTCCCTGGTGGGGACAGCGTGTTTGTCACCATTCCTTGGCTACAGGAGAAGCTGTGACGTGCGAAGCGTTTGAAGCACGTGAGAGCAGGCTTTTGTCACTGGGCCATCCACCAGCAGGGAAGGGCTTTTCAGGCCAAGGAGCAAGTGTTTCTAGCCTGCTGCTTGGACTAAGGCTGGTTTATTTCTGGTTACAACAGCGGTGTTTGGCTTTGAGGATGATTTCTATCAGCTACCCAAGGAAGGGTTGACCTATGGTCTTGATCTGATTCAGAAGTTTTTCTTCATGTGGTGGGCAATTGCCAAGCGGAGTTACTGTGTTGGGGAGGAGGAAAAATGCGATCAGATTTCTCCTGAGATACACCACCTCTCCCAGCCCAGGACATTGGCTTATTGCTAAGTTTAATTACTAGGGAGGGAATCAGTCTTCACTGTGTAGCACAAACGCCCATGTTGGGAAAACATCTCCATGCAGTTGCTGGGCAGCGATGATGGGAAAGAGGAGGCTACGGTCCCATCACTGCTGAAACTTCAGCAGGGAGAGAGTGGGAAAGAGAAGAGCCCAGGGGAGGGTGAGAAGGAGCCCATGCGATTACCCACGTTCTTGCCTGCCTCCTTTCCTTCAGCCGTGATCACACCACATGAGACACAGTCAATGTCACACCACATGAGACAACCCCAACCACGCTTGTGATCTGGAGCACTGAGTGCTCTCTGTGCAATGGGAGGATTTGCTGCTATTGACCTGTGAGCTGCTATTGACCTGTGAAGGCTGGGAGAGACCCCCAAAAGTAAGAGTTGAGATGATCTCCACAGGCCAGTTTGTTGTTGTGGAATTTTTTGTCTTCTCTGTGGTGGTGTCCTGTAGAGCTGATTCTGTCTGTGCAAAACGCTTTGCTTAGGATTGCTCCATGCTGTCTCATGCAGTGTCATGAGGCTTTTTAGTGGACTTTTCTCTGCTAACAAAAATTGCTGTGCATGACCAAAGTAGTAACCAGTTATCACCTAGTGTACCAGAGTGAGAGCTGAGCTTCAAACCAGCACAGCCTTTTATTCTGAGTTAATTTTCCTTTCTCTGTGTTCACTGACTTTCAATATTTTTAAAACTCTTGATCAGTAAGCCTCTGCATGCTTGGACACTTTTTCTTTGTTACAGTTCAAAGAAGGTTCATAGCAAAAATAAGGTTCTTATTGCCTATATTTACATTGGTGGTGTGAGGGGCAGAGGGTTTATGTGACTTGCCCAAGGCCAAAGCAGGATTTGGTGGCAGAGCTGGCTCAAGAGTTGAAGTTTGAAACTCTTTGGTGCTGTCCTTAGTCTGGTGAAATTCAAGTCTGGTTCTCATTGCTTGTGCCAGCAGCTCTCTCCTGTCACAGCCTGCCACTCCCACCACTAGGACCTGGAGCAAAGTTCTGCTTCAGGTGATTTCGAGAACATATTATTGCTTGGTGTGTCCAAGCTGCAGCCCAGAGAGAGTACTGTAATTTGTCATTTTCTGGGAACACAGTGAAGCATTCCACCTCAAAGCTGACATGAAGTGGCAGGTCTGGAGCTCTCTGAAAGCAGACTCACGTGCAGACTCCGTGCACTGGGTCCCGTGTTTGCTCCTGCCCAGGCTCCATGAGCACGGATAGCTGGACATGTGGATGTGTGAGTGTGTTACAGGCTGAGGATTAGCTCCTAGCCATTTCCTTTCTTTCCCATTTTTAATCTTAAAAAACAAAGAAAGAACACCATCTGGCTCCTGCATTTCTGGTATGCAGAAGTACTTTAACAAAGGTGAACTGCTTAATTTCCTGTCACACATTTGGATACAGAAAACAAACATTTGCGTAACAAAAGCAGCAGAGAGGCTTGTTTCCCCTCTCCAGCTCTCCATATTCTGCCTGAAGACAGATGTGTTCCTTTTTCTTGGGCGTCACAGAGAGATCCCATCAGCTGTTGCCTTTAAACTTTCTTTCAACAGGATGGGACGGGGAGAAGATGGTTGTGGAGGTGTAGGTGGTGGGACGAGGTGAAACAGTTTCTGATTAGAAAGTAGAGGAAATTGGAGAGACTCAGGAGATGAGGAGAAGTAGCCCAGATTCTGTGTGAAGAGTAAAGGCGGGGATGTTGAAGAAGCATTTCTGTGATGTGTTGTGTAATGTGCTGTGCAATCTTTGGTGTGGGTCTCTGTGGGAAGGCAGGATGGAATATATCCATATTGGAGAGAAAAGATTTGGGCGGATTTCGTTTTCCTTGTTGTTTTCTTTCCAAAAAAAAAAAAAAAAGAGTGTGAGTAGGTGATTTTTTTAGGTATGACTCAGGCTTGTGACAGCAGGTGGTGGGATGCTGCAGGTCAGGGTTGTTGTGCCTCAGCCAAGCTGACATGGAAACGGCAGCAAGTCAGGCACATGGTCCTGCCCGGTGCTGCCAGGGGAGCTCAAGGCTGTCACAGTGTCTGGGAGAAGAGGCCCAGGGCTGGGTATAGATGTCCAGACCTGAGGACATCACTGGGGATGGGCTTAGGACCCACAGCATCCCTCTCACCCGGCAGACTGGGTTTTGGTTGCTCCTAGAGCCCTTCTGTGACTCTGAATTCACCTGTGCTCCACTAAGATCCAGATCATTTTTCCTTTGTTCCCCAACCTGTGTAATTCAATTCCAAAACAAAATCATGTGGCAGCTGCCCAGGGAAAGGGCAGTATTTCTTCATCTTTAGAAGAGAACACAGTCTTAAATCATAGTCAACAGTCCTCAATAACTTCCAAAGTAATGTACTGACATGGGTGGGACATTAGCAGTGAAGACACATGTTGAATAGAGGAAGGATTTATGTCGACATTAAACCCTATTAAGACATCCCTCTGTCCAAATCTCCTATGTCCTATCCTTCTGCCCCAAAATCCTAGCCTAAGCTTGGAACCACTTGGGGATTTAGCTTCATCCTTTCCCAGAAGTCTGTCCTGAGTGTTCTCCTGGTCACAGTTCATCATGCAGAGGACACCTGCTTGTGAAAAAAAAAAAAGAAGACAAGACACATGGAGGATTTGCAAAGGGCTCTTAAAATATGTGTCTATTTCTAGCAACAAAGAGCTAAACATAATAACAAAAAATGCTCCCTGTTTCTTTCTGTGTCCTCGCTACTCTGGAGCATTATTTGAATTTGGGAGAGACAAGGTTTGTAGGAAGAAGTAATACTCTTAATAGAACATATGATATTGTTGGAGGGGAAAAAAGAATGAATTTTAGACACACAAGCCCTCTCTGAGTTATTTTTTTCCAGTAATATCGGTTGGTTTAATAAAAGATTAATATATCTTCCTATGAACCTTGGCTCTCACATCCTTAGACTGTCAGAACCGAAACAACTTTTCTGCTATGACTTTGGCCTTAGGTCAGTGTTCTTTAAAGAGTCTAGGATCCCTCTGGCAGATGCCTCCTCCTCTGAAGCATGAAGGTTTACTGTGTAAACATTTTCTTTCTCTTTCTTCAAAATGCCTAAAACACCCCCACATATTCTTGATAATTTTCAGTACCCATTGTCAGGTTGCTTTCTGATGACCATCTCCCATCTAGACAATCTCTAACTTTAGTTCCTCTTCTCTGGAGTTCAAAAATGCTTTCCTTCTCCTGGGTACAGCCAGTTATTTTTCCAGAGAAGTTTCCATGCGGGTAATAGATCACTGAGGTTTAGCAGCTGCCTGTGTTGTGCTCCTTTGGAGGCTCATTCACCAGGGTAGATAAGACTAATAGACAACCCTTACACTGAAAGTGGATTTAGTCTGACCCATGCTCTTCTAGATAGAGGGTGCCTAAATGATCACACCAGCACTGAATGGTGCTGTCTTCCCTCCAGCTTTGAACTCTGCAGACATTTAGCTCTACTCTCCCACCAGTGTATTCTGTGCATCCTTGCCAGGGCCCCTCAAAGCTAATGTGTATCCTTCAGGTGCTTTCGTGTCCCCTGATGTTCTCTTTGTTGCTTTGTTGGCCTTCTCATGCAGAGTGTTTACAGCATGGGAGGTCAATGCCCAGAGAGGGAAACCGCTGCCCAGGA